TCAAGTCGAGTCAATATTTTTCTATCAGGGCGGTTTGTAAGTCAAAATGTTTGTAACTAGGCCCGTTTGTAAGTTGAGGGTTGACTGTATCTATATTTTTACACTGTAAGTACGCATCTCCACATTAACTTGCAGATGACAGGTCAGATGGAAGGGGACTAGCTTAGCCTTTTCTTTGATACACTAAAATTTCATAGATTTAGAATGTGGGTGTAGTAGAGTATTTTGTCATGCAAGTACTACATTGCAATCTGAAGTGGTACAGTGCCAACCAAATTAAAAAAGCTTATTGCCCTCAGGGAGAACAAAGGTTTTGCTTCTTTACACAACTGAGGCCAAGGATCCTGATACATGCACTATAGCAGAAGCACCACCTGCATCCTATTCAAGTTCATTTCTCGCAGCCAGATGCATAACTACTACATCCCTTAAAAGCTCTCAGGACCAAAGTATCAGAAAGATTTGAGTCTAGTCAGATGTTTGGGGCTACATCTAATTTTAACCCCAATCAGAATGGACTAATTGGTATCAATGAGGTTTACATGGGTGTTGATTTAAATACTTGATAATTAGCATGTTCAAATGAGGTAAACTGAGTCTTTTCAGGGACATTCTCTCCCATCCTCTGGAATTTATTGGGGGGGGGAGCAAGTAATCATATGACATGGAATCTCTCCAGGAGCTGTACTGCGTAACCTTCCTTTTGTAATAAATGAGACATATTCCTTGTCTCAAGATTGTGAAAATGCATGAACTAGGGATCAGGCTGTTACAGCTGCAAAAACATCATGAGTACCTACGTGCGCTCCATAAGGTTGTCAGCAGGAGGTTCTTCCTCTGAATTGGATTCTTCTGGGGTCCGAATGAGGAAAAACAGAACTGTGCCCACAAGGCTGATCACAGTTAAAGCAATGAAGACAGTCCTGCGGTCACTCTCTGAAATAAGAGTGCATTACACTTTCACAAATAAATAATAAACATTCAAACGAACTACAATACTTGAAATAGTTGTTGTGAGCTGCCTTGACAAAGTGAAATACAGCATAAGAAGGGAAACCTAAATTGGCACATTTATGTCAAGTTTGAATTAACCTTTCGCCATACAAATGCAAATTCTTCAACAGATGTTAGTATAAGTGACATAAAATTAATTATTTACTTAAGATTGCAATATGCACTTTTTAGAAGAAATTGGAATTGTTGCTCAAAAACTGTAATGAAGAAAAGGATAGGATGCAAGTGCAGCAAGAATGTTGTTATTGGTTATGTCATGAATAAATGCATCCTAGACATGATGCAGTCATGTGCCATGCAACCAGACTCACTTTTGAACAAATACAGTTGTGCCTCGCTTTACGATTGCCCCACATTACGACGAAACTGCATTACGATGATGCTTTTGCGATCGCTTTTGGTCTAAATAGGGGGTTTTCGCTTTGCGATGATCGGTTCCCTGCTTTGGGAACCGATTCTTCACAAAACGACGATTTTCCTACAGCTGATCGGTGGTTTCAAAATGGCCACCGGGTAAATAAAATGGCTCCCCACTGTTTTCTGGGACGGATTCCTCGCTGCACAGGCACCGAAAATGGCCGCCCTATGGAGGATCTTCATTGGACGGTGAGTTTCCAGCCCATTGGAACGCACTGAAGGGGTTTCAATGCGTTTCAATGGGCTTTTTATTTTGGCATTACGTTTTCGTTCTACAGCGATTTCGCTGGAACGAATTAACATCGTAATGCGAGGCACCACTGTATAAGAACAGAAAAAAGAAAACCTGAAGCATACTGTAGAGCAATATAGCTAATTGTCACTTACACACTAACACTACTGTAGCACCGAAAAATGTTTCCTAATGTATGTACATGTTCGTAAGATAAAATCTAATACTGGAACTGGATTTCAATAAAGTAAATTTTCCTGAACTGTTACCTGTTTCAAAAATGCATCTTAACTGCAAAATTTCATTCTTGGTAGTACTAATGTATTAACACACATCTAAGGCAACACTGAATAAACTATCCAAACCAGCTGCAGAGTTCTTATAGCAATGGTGAAATGCTATGCTTAGGTGTTTGATAAAATTATATCCTGTACTCTATTACAGAAATTTGAGTATACTAGTTGAGGACGTGCAGTGGCTGTTTTTAAAAAAAACAAAAGTACAAGAACACCCCTGGATTGTCGTTGTTGTTTAGTCGTTAAGTTATGTCCGACTCTTCATGACCCCATGGACCAGCACCACAATTCAAAAGCATCAATTCTTCAGTGGTCAGCTTTCTTTATGGTCCAGCTCTCACTTCCATACATCACTACAGGAAAAACCATAGCTTTGACTATGCAGATTTTTGTCAGCAAGGTGATGTCTCTGCTTTTTAAGATGCTGTCTAGGTTTGTCATTGCTTTCCTCCCAAGAAGCAGGCGTCTTTTAATTTCGTGGCTGCTATCTCCATCTGCAGTGATCATGGAGCCCAAGAAAGTAAAGTCTGTCACTGCCTCCATAGCTGCTTCTTCTATTTGCCAGGAGGTGATGGGACCAGTGACCCCTGGATTAAGTGGAATTCCCTGTACTGATAAACGTGACTGTAAGACTGAGCAGACATCCATCTGGGCATAAATCTCTTTCTTCACCATGGTGATCCTGTTCCTCTGTTCTATTCCAGTCACTCTGTTGGCATCTTTTTTCCAGCAGATAAGTTCTGTAGACAGACTGGGGGACTAATGCCACTGGCACACGGGGGCCCTTCTGCTAGATCTAAAATTCCACAGATGGTATAATTCCAATACAGAATGGTGCTTTAAGGAAACTCATCAGACTGGTTGGGGCCCCAAACACAACACCACCTTCATCCACCTGAATGTTTCTAAAATGCAATATTTGTTCCAGAGGTCTTTCTCTGTGGGCCTAAGCCAGGAGAAAATAGGTAGGAGATGAGTGGCAAGAGAGTCTTTCCCACAATGTATCCTTTTGAAAAATGTCATAATGTTAGGAAAGGACAGCTTCAGCCCCACACCTCCGCAAAATAGGCTAAACTGAAAAATAGTCATATCTTTGCCACTTTTATCATACATTGTTATTATTTCCACTTCTGACTTGGCACAGACATTTTTAATGAATAAAATGGAGAGAAATGCTAAATATTAAGCCTAAAAGCAAACAGAGATGCACTTATAGCTTTTATATTTTAAGTATGTGTTTTATTTTTCACACATTAAACTACCATATGATTACAAAGAGTGGGTCAGAAGTCCTAAAATGGATAAATACCAAGTAAAACGTCAAAATTTAAAAACATTCTAATCTGGAATGTATTACTTGTAAACTGATGTGGACTGTCACTGTGGAAATGAGCCATTTCAAAATCAATGTACATTCTAATCAGTTTAAATGTCACATTTGAATTACAAAGGAAATGCTGAAGATGCTTTAAAAGGAAATCGGATTTGGCTTAATCCTGGTATCTGGTAAGAAGGGGGAGGGGTGTTCAAATAAGACTGGTTGTTTGAAGAAGGATTTGAAAGATCAACGGTAAGACATCTAGTCTGATAAGAATCAAAAGACCAGTCAAGGTAAGGTCATGAAGAGAGGATGCTAATCACCATTCAAATATTTTCAAATTAGTTACCTTCAGCAAGGATTGCAGCTTGATAGCATATGTTATAACAGCAAGTCTGAGAGAACTTTACACAGAGAATGAAACCCAGAAATACAGAGAACAGGAAGAAATTTTCAATTGTTTTTACATATATAGGAATGAGTACTGTAATAAGAATCATCCTGAGGAGCTGTTTAAGAACTATTTGAAATGGCCTGCGAGTATGTACCTTGCTTTTGAAACATTTTCTCATTATTTCAATAAGAGACATGCTACCTTAAGAAGAAGTACTGTAAGTAAAACCAACCTGATATATGGAATTTCCCTTGCCAGGCAAAGTATATATAAAGGTTCCCAAAAAACAAGCTGTGAACAGAAGAGGGAAGCACACTATGGGTTAAACTAAATCTGTTTTGCAAGAAGAGAAAAAAGTAAATAACAATTCATTCTACATTGTTAGAAGATAAGACTGCTCCTCCTACTGAACTCTAACCAAACCTCAAGGGTTTGCTTACATAAAGTAAAACTGTGTTGTTCCCTGTCACAGAACAGAGAAAGATACATCCAGCATACCCCGACAACAGAGAAAGATATGGATAGGCTCACTCTCCTGTCAAAAAATTTGGCCCAACTTGGATATATGAAAATAGAATTCATGCCAAAAATTCAACAACAGCTAGAAAGCAATTTGCATTTACTTGTGTTTCAGTTGGGGGTGAGGGGCAGAAGGTATGTGAGAACATGCCCATAATCCAATCACACTGTGCCCTTTGTACTTTGTGGTATTTTTGTTTTATTTTCCAGACTTCAGGGTTACTCCTCCAAGCCCATGTGTTTCTGGACTGAATTTAAAGTTCTAGTCCAAATGGTTTAGAGTTAGGTGGGTTCAAAAACCATACGCTCCCACAGAAACTTGGTGGACTTTTTAAAGATTAGCCTTATGGGTCCTGCTCACGATCTAGCTTATGCACAAAATCAGACAGCAAGGTCTTAGAGGCAGGGTCTTCTCACTGGTAGGTTTGTGGAACAACTATTTTGTGGTGTCTCACTGCATTCCCTCTTTCTATGTATGTTTAGACAGCTGATATATACTTTTTTATTACAGATTCCTTCTCATCTGGGATCTCCTGCTTTATCATTCTGAATCTGTGAATTGCTGGAAGTTTTATCTTCCTTTTTTAAATGGTACTATTTTCCTATGTTAATGAGAGCAACATATTGGAATTGTTTTGCTCCATCTTGTATTTTTAACTTTACTTTAATTATTTCAAATTAAAAAAGTCAGGTATAGACACTAAATTAGGTCCCTACATCAGATCAATTTTTAAATGTGTGAGCATTAACACATGTTATACTTCCCCTCTTCTTGCATTGTTGCACATGTCCACATCTACAACATACACAATTTAGCCTCCCAACAAATGGGTCAGTCTAGACCAGCAGACACCAACCCGTCTAAAGGCCTAGTGGGCTTCATAGCTAAGCTGCAATTTGAAGTGGGGCTTATTGGTTTAAAATCCAACACTAAGCACTATAGCACGCTAGCATCAAACACTAACATTCTAAATGATTGTCACCATATTCTAGATTTAAAACTAGTGTCTCATTATTAAACAAAACAGTGAAGAAAATAATATCATGACTAAAGCAATACTACAGTACTGTACAGTACTCATGAAGCAGATGTCCATAGAGCTGATCAGGCACATAGGTTTACTAGAAAGACATTCATTCTAGCTGTAATGTGAGCAAAAGGGCAGGCGAAGATGTTTGTGAGCTAATAATACTAGGATAAACCTGCATGAATAAGACCAAATCCATGAAAGGTAAGTACACTCTGCTGCCTTCCCTTAATTTCTGACTACTTGCTTTACAACACCAGGACAGTTACCCTGTTTCCCTGAAAATGAGACCTAACCTGAAAATAAGCCCTGGTATGATTTTTCAGGATGCTCCTGATATAAGCCCTACCCCAAAAATAAGCCCCAGTTAAGTAAACCCTCACCCTCCACCACTGTGCAGCAACCAGAAGAAGATGACATGACTGTATTTGAATAAATATAGATTGTTGTACATAAAAAAAATAAAACATCCCCTGAAAATAAGCCCTATTGGGGTTTTTGGAGCAAAAATAATATAACACCCTGTCTTATTTTTCGGGAAACATGGTATAAATTCATGGGAAACTCTGCGTAATTGCCCTCAGGAGCAAGGCAGATTATCTCCCATGACACAGAAGCGATGCTGACTCAGAACAGCCTTAGGGCAAAGCACTCCTCTTGCAGAAAATATTTCAGCTCATTCTAATCTGTCCTACTGATTTCAATGTAACTTGCTTCTAAACAGACATATACTGAACAACTTAAAGAAGTTTTTTTCAGAGGAAACTAGTTATTTCAGAAAAGACAGAACTTCTAAAATTACATGTTTAATATTAAATTATGACAGTCATGTTATGTCAATAAAGCTAAAAGAAGCACCAAGTGGACCTAACCAATAGAGATCGATTGTTTCGTACCTGGATTGCAGCAATGCCCAGAAGATTCCGCTGTTCCTGCCAATTGTGTGTTCATTAGAATTTACTGTCAGACAGTTTCCCTGAGCAGTCCACAGAACTGAAAGTTAATTAGAATACTAGTGAACAAGGAGAAGGGAGTCGTCTAAAACTTGCTCATATTTGACCACTATGAATGTGCCTGAGCAACCAGGAATAGTTACTTCATAGTTGCATTTTTTTAAGGAAATAACTTAGAGCTGCTTCACTCACTGTCAGGTGTACACCTAATGGCAAAAATCCTACATTCTGGCATAATGTAAAGTTTTGCCAAGAAAAGGGTGCCAGGCATTACACCCAGACCACCAGAGCAGGACAATCAGATTGTGCAATCAATCCCAGCGTTTGACCAACTGCACGACACACATGGGGAAGTGACTCATGAACAGCACTTCCACCCTGTCACACTTTTCCCTAATGTTGCTGCCGCTTCACATTGCAAATTAAGAGCTGCACAACAGGATTTCAGCCAAAATATACTTAATTTTACCAAAAAACAAAACACATAAAATATTAACGCAACAAAGAGGTACCATACACATGCAAGACAGCTGGAACTTCCTGGGATTTGTTAAACGTTTACTTATTGACATACTGTACCTGATTTTGTTGATATGTGTACAAATGTGAATTTAACCAATCAACCATCTGGAAGCATCCACAAATTCATAAATACTGAATGAATTAAACTAATCTATTTAATAATTGCAAGTTATCCTAGACATTGTTGCACAGAAACTAGTTGCACCCATTCCTGGAGAGGTCTGATCTGGCCATGATGACACATGCCTTAGTTACATCCTGACTGTACAAGTGTCATGTGGGGCTGACTATGGAAAGTGTCAGGAAACCTCAATGGGTCCAAAACACAGCAGCCAGATTGCTAACTAGAGCTGCTCACAGGGATTGAATAAGCCACCCACCCAGCCCTGTTACAGCAATTCCACTGGTTGCCAATCTCTTTCCTGGCACTATTGAAAGTGCTGCTTTTAATCTATAAAGCCCTAAACGGCCTGGGTCCAAGCTATCTCAAGGATGGCGTATCCCTTCATGAACTCTGCTTGAGGCTGAAACCTTCCTTTCAGTCCTGCCACCTTCACAGCTGTGTCTGTGAAGGGACACAGGAGAGAGCCTTCTCTGTTGTTGCTCCCAGACTTTGGAATTCTCTCCCACAGGAGATCAGGCTGGCCCCATCTTCACTGTCCTTTGCCAGGCAAGCAAAGACCTTTCTCTACAGGCAAGCTTCCCCTCAGTGACTGGTTTCCTGAGTGGGATTTTTAAATGGAATGTTATGCATTGCTGCTTTGAATGTGTTTTTAGTACTGCTTTTGTTTACCATTTCTTAGAGTGGTGTCTTTTTAATATTTGTATACATACGGTTTTTAGCTTTTAATATTTACTTTTAATTATGTAAGTCACCTGTGTATACTCATTTTTACCTTTAAAAGTTATTGTTTAATGATGTAAGCCACCTGGGTCCTTTTTAAGGAGAAAGGTGGGAGAAATAATTTTTAAAAAATAATAATTGCCTTTGTGTGCAATTGCAGTTAAGGGTAATGCTGTAAGCTCTGTGAAATAAAAAAAATACACTTCTACCTCGAATTGCACAGGTCTGAGAAGCACAATTTTGGTTATACATGATTTTTTTCAATAAATAAAAAATACTGTAAATATTTCAACAAATAAATATTCAGTAAATACTGTGCCCCTAACCACCCAGAATCCTGTGAGTTCAACACTGAAGGCATCCAAGTGATATACTTTCCCCAAACACATCATCTCTAATTCAGCCTCTAGATCAGGGGGGTCATAAAGATCTTTAAGGCTCATTTCACATGGTACTGTATGGAAAGGATTGTCAGCGCTATGGAAGAAAACTTCAATAGAAATGTTCTCTATGTGCGTGTGTGTTAATCAACCGTTTATGCTTTGTACTTATGATTTTAGGGACATAAGAGTTATAGACAGATTTTGAACTATAGGGAGGTCCAGTCCCCCTAACCTCAATACTGTTGTAGAAGTGTATTATACATATTTATAACAGCATAAAGTACAACTGTTTATACCCGATTCCATTTCCGCTTTGACATCATCTCTGCAATCATGAAATACAGCTCCCAGGTAGCACTTCAGTTCATCCCAAGATAACATAGCAAAGATAGCAAGTTAAGGAATACAAAGTAAATCTTACCAACGGGGTGTACTTCCTTCCCAAATAATATACATATTATTATAGCTGAAAGGGGGGCGGATTCTAATTCTGATTTCCAAGGGAATCATATCCTAGCCTGACAGCTGAATGTTTCATTTTTAAGAGACAGCTCTTAATTCCCAGGTTGTAAAAATGCAAAACATTTATTCTCATTTGCTTAGGGGCAGAGAGGGTGCTAAAGTATCACTTGCTGGTGTATCTTTTTGTTTTTAATTGCTAGCAGCAGGCACCCATCTATCCCATTTTCATTAGTACTAAATCCAGACCAAGCTGAAGGGCTTACCAGCAGCTGCTATTCCAAGGAAAACTGAGGCCGTGTAGAAAGTCCACGTAGAAGGCTGGATAAAAATGGCAATATATATGCTGAAAAGATGACAATGTACAATATTCAGTTTTAATTTGGTCAATTCCATGCTCATAATATTTAAAGAAAAGATTTCCCACATGGAGCTGGGAGTTGCCTGTGGCTTGGAAGACTTCATCTGTCATTCTCTCTAGCAGTTCAGTTTGAAACCAACAATGCCAGCCTAACAGCTATCCTTACATGTTACATAATTATCGAAGTCAATTTATTATTATAATCAAACGGGGGGGCGGGGAAGAGAGATTGTACTGGATTCCAATAGTAACTTGTAGCCACAGTAGGCCCAATTATTCAATGAAACTTACAGGGGAGCTGACACACCAAATTCCCACTGATTCAGTGGGTCTACTCTAGTTACAACTTACTACTGGATTTCAGCCAGTATGTTTCAAACAAGAACATTCACATCACAAAGGCACATGATGATATAGAGTCTCAATCATTCAATCTAGCCATTGTTATTTTACTACATTACACTCCACTGATCACTCACTTAGACATTTAGCCCTGCAGCAACCCTGAGGAATTGTCTTAAAACGGGACTGCAAGTGACTTACCCAGGGATTCCAATGAGTTTAGGGCCTATACAGGGCTTGGAACTCGGGCTTCCTGCTTCCAAAGCCAATGCTCTACTAGTATATTGTATCTTCCTTCTGTCTTTTCATACACCTGAAATCACTGGGTCTTTTTTACAGGATCAATTACTGGCAAAACACACTGCATTTGAGAGAACCTATTTTGGCCCAAAGGCCAGATTGACACTGAGGAAGGAGAGTACCGGCTCTATACCAGTAACGGGCACGGCCACAGTCACATACACTTCCTTCCTTGTTCATATGCACACACAAGAGTAGCACAGTGGGGAAGTTTAAACCTCTCCAGTGCACTGCTGTTAGAACAGTGCCCTACGGTGATCCCATCATGTGAGGTAGTAGCAGCTCCTCAGTGAGCTGGCTTCACTCAGCCCTTCAGTCCACTAGGCCAGTGGTGGAGAACCATTTTGGGCTCACGTGCCCTAACTGGGGGGAGGGGGACAGCGGGCAGCACCAGAAGTGGTGGCAGAAGTGGGAATCCCGGCATGGAGGTGCCTTGAGACCCCACTCCAGACGCGCTGCCAGCACCAGCTGCTCCAGATCCACCTGCCGAAGCGCCAGCACCGCGGCTGCAGCCGCCTTCTCAGGTTTGGCTGCACCAGGGGTGGGGGGAGTAGCGATCCGGCGACTTACGGCTCGCCTGCCGGCAGAAAGGGCTCCGCGTGCCAGCATAAGTTCACCATTGCTGCACTAGACCCTCAGCTCCATTCAGACCACACAACTTTCCCATGTCAGCCAAGGCTTAGGAACTGCCTCTTCAAGATGCTTTGAGAGTCTTGCAATGAAGTCTCCAAAGCATTCACTTCTCTTTGGGAGGCAGAAATGTCTAAAGAAAGAGTCTTCATGGGCTGTAGGGAGAGTCCATATGTGACCAGTGTATGTGACCACATCTCTATTTTTAGAAGCTGCAGAAAAGCAGCATCACTTGTTCTCCTTACTCTGGGGGACATTGTAACTCCTACTCCTGCACATGAGGACAGCAAAACTTTTAAATGGAGGTAATTTTTTTAAAGCAGGAACAAAATAGCAAGGATTTACACAAAGGGACATGGGTGGCGCTGCGTGTTAAACCGCAAAGCCTCTGGACTGCAAGGTCGGATGATCAGCAGTTCGAATCCACGCAACAGAGTGAGCACCCGTCGCTTGTCCCAGCTCCTGCCACCTTGCAGTTCGAAAGCATGTAAATGCAAGTAGATAAATAGGTACCACCACGGTGGGAAGGTAACAGTATTCCGTGTCTAGTCGCGCTGGCCACGTGGCCACAGAAACTGTCTACGGACAAATGCTGGCTCTACGACTTTGAAACGAGAATGAGCACTGCCCCCTAGAGTCGGACACGAATAGACAATTTTCAAGGGGAACCTTTATCTTTACCTACCTATAAAAAATGCCACTTATAAACATGGATATTTGTGGTCCTATGATGGCAACCACAGAAGGCGAAATCAGATTTGATGCTGAAAAGACTCCATAAATAACAGCCATGCTGCAGAAAGCAGAAATCACTGTTAATAAAAATGTGAACAAAAGTTTATGGTATTTTTTGATCTTCAGTTCAAACCATATCATTTCAAATTCTAAAAATACAGTATATTGAATCTTCCTCATTAAAATGTTTTCACAGTCAGCATAGATATGTTAAAATACTCAGGCCTGGTAAATGAAAGAGAAATGGAGAGAAAGATAAGCTTCTCACTCTACTATAGCTTGTTCCTGAAAGTGGAAGGCATGGTTTTCCATTATTTCTTAAACCTACCACACAGCAGAACTAAAAACCAACGAAGGGATAAAACAGAAATATAAATTACCTTGTATAGCCACTGCCATGAAAATCTGTATTGTTTAGATTTGTGATGACAGTTTGCTGTATGGAAAGAAATTTTAAGAATTCGTGATAATGGAATTATCCCATTTAATGCATAACAGAATTATAACTCAAGATTAATGCACATTAACAACCATGACATTTTGTTCACACTGATTAGCCTTCAGAATAACTGTGTGAGGACGGCGTGCTATTCTTGCAGCTGTTTCATAGATAAGAGGACTGACTCATTCAGGAGCTTAAAACAAGTCTTCCTAATCACCATACATGCACAACAGAGGGGAAGGCCAGAAATCTGAATACAGTAGGTTAGAATACTTTACAGTTCGCCCAAAATCCAACTAAAAAATTACACCACTGTTAAGTCCACTGACCTAAATTTAGTGGTGAATTGCCACTAGTTAATAAGTCTACATAGGCAACTGGTATATGGCAGCAAATGCCTACATGACTTCTTAAACAGTGGCAATGTGCCACTGAGATTTAAACCAACAGACAAATGCTTGCAAAGTAACAGGATTCTAGTCAATGTGAACTACCACGCACAGAAGGGCACTCATACAAGCTGTTATCGTATTTTATCAGTTACCTATATGTTCTGGAATAAAATAAAGTACAGTATTAAACCAATTGTGCATCTCAGCTTGGCCAAGCACACAAAAAGACATCCAGCAAGATCACATGCACGGTTTGTGGTCCTGACCCGACCAGATAGGTGGGATATAAATAAAATAAATAAATAAATAAATAAATTGAGTAAGTTCCATTTACACTACATGATACCAACAGGATTCTAACCGTTTCTGAGTCCTCCATCCATTCCACTCTCTGCTTTCAGAAGCAAAACCGAACAGAACCAGAGGCTGCCAAACTGACTTTGCTAAGGTAACACAAACAAATTTCAAATATGTTTATGGGGGAAATCTGAAATGTGTAGTGTAATTGATTCCACATCATTCTGAAGGAGTTACAAAGGCAAGACAAACCCTGCCTCCATTAGGAAACCCCCACACCCAGACTGGATGCTGATGAGTGACAAAATATAATGACATTTTGGAAAGGGATGTGACACTTGAATTAATAAAGAAAGGTGCAAATTATTACCAGTGAATAGTGAAAAACACAAAGGGGATTCAAACCTTAACACTAAAAACAAGATTATCTAGATAATGGGGGGGGGGGGCTTACTTGAGAATAAGAATCACTCCTGCAGGAGGCATCTTTTAACAGTAGACCCTAATCATTTTCTGTGTCAGCATCAGATAAAATACTAGATAACTCTACCTAGTGAACTAAATCAAGAAACATAAAACAAAATCAGCTTATGGCTTTGGTGGCTATAGTCCCAAAGCATCAATAGAGGCTGAAGATCCGCAAACATGAATGGGGGTGGGGGTGGGATTAGAAAGAAGTATATCCATATTTGCACTTACTGCAACGTTTCCACATGTTTGAAAAGCCGTAAACATAAACATAAAGGCTGTTCCTAAAACAACGATGTTCAATTGCTTTTTTGACTCGGAATTCATTTTGTGTTTTCTCTGGAGGCTGTCACACTGAATCCAGGCGAATGTCTATCGGTTAAACTTCTTCTCTTTTCTTTAAAGGTTCTGCCCAGATAACACACAAATCATGACAAAGAAACTTTTAAAACTGACTTATACATTAAAAAACATTTTCTGATAACATTAAAGAAATCTTTGTAGAGTTGGAATAATTAAGTACAGTTACAGCAAGGGAGAAGAGGCTGCCAAGCAAAACATCACAGAGATTCTCTCTACCTTTCAAACACAGAACAGCTGCAGATCCCTTATGAAGAAGAAACATTCTGCTCCAGCTGGCCTTTTTGCAGATTCACGTCTCTGCTGTATCCCTCAATCAATTTTTGGCCAAAAAAAACAACCCTAAACCCAATTAATCATCTGATGACAAAAGGAAATCTTGCTGAAAGAACTACAGTATTTCCATTTCTGCTGAACAGGAAGGCAAGAACGGCTCACAAGGTTGGTCAGGTGATCAAAGGGGACCAAACCTTGTGAATTCTGGGAAATGTAGTTCTTAACCTGCTCCTTGCTAAAACAGGAAGGACTGGCATATGGAAAATTTGTATCAAGTGATCAGTTTCAAAAAGAACTATCTGTCCCCTGCAAAGAAAATTAATTTCTGGTACAGAGATCTGTACCATCTCAGTCAACACGCTCCCTTTAAGAAAAAGCAGGATAAAATAATTTGTTTTCCCAGTCAAGCTTTGAGTATAACTTGTTCAAGATAATTTTCATGTGGGATAAGGAAATGGAGATGCCTTGATTTGATCTAAAATTGTTTCTTAATTTGAACTTGCCTGGAAACGATTAGAAACATTACAATGCAATCCTTCTCTTGTCTACTCAGAAGTAAGTCCACTTGATTTCAGCACTGTTTGCCACCACATCCAAGATTAGCTTATGAATTTTAAGTCAAACAGTCTTCACCACATCCAAGATTACAGCCTTAGCTTATGAATTTTAAGTCAAACAGTCTGTCAGTTAAGGCAGTACATGCAGCACACGTCTCCTTTGACACTGGGATTGTTTTAAGAGTTATTGTGATGGCTTGCAGCTAAAAATTGGTCTAATCATTTTTTTAAGGTGCATTCACTTGATTTTTCTTTTTGTGTGTGTAGGATTTAGAATTAGAAATGCTTTTATGCTTGAGAGTTTCTAGCACTGTGTAAAATTTATTTTCCTTTGCCTCATAGGCATCCTTCAGTCTTGAGAGACTATGGTAATGTGCTCTGTATCGAGGACTTCGACACTGTATGCGAAGCTGGGGTGTCCTCTCCAGAGCATGAAGCCTGGGTAAAATAATATGGAGGATAGGCTGTTACCCAAGCAGCAAATCCCCCCTCTCCACATCGCTGAAATAGTCCAATGGAAAGGCAAGAGCCAATACAACTGGTTCCAGTGACATCGCAGGAGTTGCCAGAACGACATGAACGGCCTCCAGGACTCCAGCTCCGGATTTTGCGTCGAGGTCAACTCCTGAAGCCTTTTCTATCAGTGGATATAGCCACAAGGCAGTGGAGGTTTAAAATCAGTCTTTTCCTTCTCCTAGATGAGCTGCCTTCCCCGGCTGACGAGCCCCACCTACCTGGGTCCTTGGTCTAAATGCAAAATATATACAGCATAATGGGAACTTCCTCTTTCTCTTACTAGTTGCAGCCCTTCCTAAAACTCATCCAAAGGCTCACCTCTAAAACAGATTTGGGGCTGCAGGGGAAGGAGCAGAATTTGATCCAACTATCTGATCATGCTGAAAGAACTACAAAACTGAAAGGATGGAAGGGACTCTGCCAAATCTACTCCAACCCACCACCAACACAGGAATTGAAAGGCATCCTGGGATACACTCTGATTTTCTCTCTAGTATTTTTTCTTCTATCTCCTCAAAGCTTGCAATAATTTCTGCAATGCTCAGCAATTAGATTGAAATTGAAACAAGACTCAACTGCTTTCTTTATAACCATGCCATGTGAATGGCCAGGAGAGACCTAATTAGTGTGTGCATTAGTACAAAACTAATTTAAGACATTAGGGTTCACAAAAATATACAGGCAAAGTACATGGTAAGAAGTTTCTGGAATTTCTAGTGGGGAATAGCATGTTTAAACTGTCCCCCACATCAAAATCTTGCCTGAAATGCTTGGTCTCTACCTGAAAAGAACGTTTTGCATAAAGAAGGGTTCCAACTGCCCATCCTCTAAACAGTCTGGAATAACATCACAGAAATTCTGGCACCACATAATGCATCTGTATGTGCAAATGGGATATTCTATTACGGTAAATCCTACAGTAGATTTGCCATGTTTATTGAGATAATTTCTGTTATCTTAATATCTGCAATTCAGTCATAAATTCAGCAAGAAATGCCTAACCAGAAGTTGTACACCAGGAAAAATTGCCTTCATCAAATTTTTGCTTTTAAGTAACCATTGAAATCACAGATGTTGGAATCTTTCACTCTCCAGAAGTTTTGGATTACAACTTCCATAAACCCTATCAGCCATGCTCACTAGTGGTTTCAGGAGCTGAGACACATACATAGTTAGATAGACACTAAGTTAGATAGACTCCCATGCAGGTTTTGTCCACAAAAACAGTACCACGTGCTAAGTGAAGTCTGGTTCAGTGAGAGGTTCCTAAGGATTGCTGAACAGTTAAATTCATTATGTCAGTGGAAATCTCCTTACAGTACTTTTATTTTATTCACCATCTCTATTTAATATTACCATCATTTCATAAACCACCGTTATATTTCAAAATACCACCAGCTTCATCAAATAACAGCTTTTGGACTTTTCTCTTGGGAAATCAAATAACTGAACATTACTTTGCTTTATCAATACACTTGATATGTTCCAAGAATAGTTTTTTAAATTTATAAATAAACTTTATTTATGTACTTAAGATATTTATACCTCACCTTTCTCCTCAAGCCAACATAATTTACAATATTACAAACAAGCAATACAGTATAAAAACTGGAAGGGGAAGGAACAAACAAAAGAAAACAAAAACAGCAGACCACCTCTTAAGTAACCAATTACTGAGAAAAAGCCTGACTGAAAGGTCTTTACCTGCTTTGTGGACGGACAGCAAGAAAAGGACCAGGTCTTCTCTTGTGTTCTCACCAACATATCTGTGCTGGGTGCCAGGACAAAGGAAAAGGCCTCCCCAGATTATTTTTAAAACTCAGGCGGGCTTATAAAGGGAGATGCTGTCTTTCAAGTAGCCTGGCCCAAGTCGTTTAGAGTTTAACTTTTCTTTAATCCTATTTGCCCTCTACATACTGTACCTCCGTGTAACAGTACTGTAGAAAACACATAGGTATGGTACGATATGCCCACTGAACTGAACATTTCTCTCTGTTAGGTTAAGAACACAGGAAATTGTCGGTAAGTTGAATAACTGGCCCATCTAGCTTAGTATCGTCTATTTTGCCTAGCGGAGGCTTCCAAGGACTTAGAAAAGATCCTTTCCTAACCCTACCTGGAGATCACTATTTACATCTACTAACAGTCAAGTAGTCCTACCAGTTCAACTTCTAAAATCAGAGATCCAAGTGCATCCAGATATCACAGCTTGGTTAGTTAATTGCTATAAATCCCATAAAGAAATAACTACACAGGTTCATGCAGCATACTCCTGTATCTCCTACTTCTGATACCTTAACGTTTCACTTCAATCTGCTGTTCTTTCACTGATGGAATTTTAGTTTTCCATTCCTCTGTTTCAAGTAAGTCTATTTGCTTTTATTCCCATGGTGCGACTATGGTCCAAATGATTTTATGGAACGACTCTAGCGAAAGGTTGAGGCCAGCAGAGAAAGAGGAAGCCCGCATATGAGATGGATAGACTCGATCGAGGAACCCACAGCCCTCCTCCGTTCGCAAGAGTTGAGTAGGACTGTTGAGGACAGGCCATTTTGGAAGCGACTCGTTTATAGGATCCCTATAAATCGGAAGCGGCGCGGCGGCACGTAACAACCTCTTAAGGAAGGCGTTTTCTGTATAGGCGCTACTAGATTGCCTTTGGGATAAATCAATCGAAAATTGTTTCTGGGAAACTCTCTATTTCTATTTCAGAATATTTAATTCAAATGTTTTGATGCTCCCCAACGGCGCTAGCTATACGGATTTCGCGACACCTCAGGTCTTTGTTTGATTAACTATCAGTATGACACCAGCCTTCCCGGAAATGAAGACCAGGCCGCCGCACCCAGCTCCGTCTGCAGCGAACTCAGCAGAACAAGCAGCGGGCGGGGGCAAAACTAGCCCCGCCCCTCCCCGCCTCGCCTGGCGCCTCTTCATGGCGATGAGTAAGAAACGTGGCTGCGCCGTTTGAATCGGGCTCCCTCCTTCGGCACGTAGGCGACGGAGTTCGCGCGCGCTCCCGCGACTTCTCTTCCGTTGGCGCCATTTTGAATCCGATACTATCCGTTTTGGATTAACCCTAACGTGTTAGTCGTACCATTTAAAAGCTTATTCCTAATTTTATAAACTATAATTTATCAACATACCTAGTTCATCAACATACCTACAGTATTTCATATTTGGTGGCATTTAGAAAACAACAAAGCGTATCCTTTCGGGGGGGAGGGAAGCATAGATAATCGCTTCCGGGGTTCCGCAGCAATGGTACCTTGGCGTCCAAAGCTGATACATTTACAGTATGTCTTTTAATTCCACACGACCGCTAATAAAGGCTTACTTTATCGCCTTTTTGTGGCCATTCAGCAAAGGCATGTATTTTAAATTGACTTCTTTAGAAATAAGGAGAGCTGGTGTTCCAAAGCCACTTCCGGGTCAACGGCAGCCATTTTGTGGCGCTTAAGTGCTGGAGGAAGGGCGGTACCTCGCTCATTTGCTCGTGGCTTTGCTCGGAGATGGAGGCTCACGAGTAAGGTCCCGTCCGCGTACTTCCCATCTAATCCGGCGGCAGGTCTCCGAGACCTGCGGGCCTGTGTGCGGCCCCCCACCCTCTCGTGTTTCCTTTTCGGGGTGTGGTTCTTGGCTCTAGGCGCGGCTTCGCTTCCCCGCGTCATTTTTCTCCTTCCTACCCGGCCATCATGAGCTACGGGCGGCCGCCGCCGGACGTAGAGGGTATGACCTCCTTGAAAGTGGACAACCTGACCTACCGCACCTCCCCGGACACCCTCCGCCGTGTTTTTGAGAAATATGGCCGTGTGGGGGACGTGTACATTCCTCGAGACCGCTATACCAAGGAGAGCCGCGGATTCGCCTTCGTGCGTTTCCACGACAAACGCGACGCCGAGGACGCGATGGATGCCATGGACGGAGCCGTGCTCGATGGGCGGGAGCTGCGGGTCCAGATGGCCCGCTACGGTCGACCCCCAGATTCCCACCACAGCAGGCGGGGGCCTCCTCCCCGCCGGTATGGCAGCGGGGGATACGGACGCCGGAGTCGGAGGTGAGGAGGATCGCTGCGGGGATGGGCCCGCCTGAGTGGAGAAGTGGGAGGAAGAGCTAGCGCGACCGGCTAAACGTGGAGGGAGTGGAAGATTAAAAAAAAATTGACTTGCAGAGGGAAAGTGAGGCTTCCGGAGGTAGGGCAGCCATAGACTGGCATAGCTTCGGAGCCGATCGGCGGGAAAGTAACTGAATCACATGGTATTGGAGGGCTAGAGGCCCAGAGGGCGGGCACAGATTTCCTTTTTTTTTTCTCTTTCGGGTGTAAGCAAAGCACTTGAGGAAATCCATGTATGAGTTTCTGGCTGTTGTCCAACTACCCTTTCTCTTCCCCCCCTCCTTTCTACTTAGTCCCAGAAGGCGTCGCCGCAGCCGGTCCCGAAGCAGGAGCCGATCCAGATCTCGTAGCCGATCGCGTTACAGTCGGTCCAAGTCGAGATCGCGCACAAGATCCCGTTCGCGTTCTACTTCCAAGTCCAGATCAGCTAGGCGATCGAAGTCTAAGTCCTCGTCTGCCTCCCGATCTCGGTCCAGGTCGAGATCTCGGTCCAGGTCGAGAAGTCCCCCGCCCGTCTCAAAGAGAGAATCCAAGTCGCGATCCCGTTCAAAGAGCCCCCCTAAGTCCCCTGAAGAGGAAGGAGCAGTCTCATCCTAAAGCAATGGTAATGTGCTTCCTCAACTACCGTAATTGCATGTTTCTTTGTAATTCAACAAGGTATTGAGTCCTTCAAGTAGCTTTTGAGAACGAGTAAATTCTGATGGGTCTTGTTCATTTCTGAGGAGGGCATTTTAGTTTACGGCTAATAAAAGATCTTTTTATGTTTTGTTGCTATTAATAGCTTGCTTTTTAATATCTATTGTTTGAGACGCAACCTATTTCTGAAAATGACTATTTCTTACTGTTCTTATCCAACATCTGCATTTTCCCCTTTAAAGCTGCGGTCTCCTGTTTGCTTAAAGAATATTGGCCAGTTTTGCAGATTTTAACTGATTTGGCTGATCCTCCAGGGACCAGTTTCTGTGGGCGTGTATTGGAGCAGGTTTGTCTTTAAATGTTAAAGATACACTATCCTGTTAATGAAGAATCACTCCTGTGGTCACAGTTCAAAAGCAGAAAATGTTTAGACATGGATGTTGAAATGCGAGTTTGTAGAAATCATTTTTTGACAGTGCAATTGTGGGCTTAAAAGGATATGCTGGGTGGGTGAAATGGATAGTGTGTCTTTAACCTCCCTAAAATTGTTTGGTCCTTTTTTTTCAAAGGAAGGTGGCCTAGAACTGTTAAAGTTAACCATTTAATGACTCTTCAAGATTTGGAATGCAAACTAATCCATAAGTTAAAGTAAATCGGGCTGACTTCAAGTTAAGGGTGGTTTGAGCATAGCCCGACACTATGTAATGTGATTAGTGGAGATTAATCACAGAGATATATTTGAAAACTTCCTAAATGCAGTTAGCATCTAATATGGTGGGAGGTGGGTATTGTTTTTTTCTAATGTGATGAGACCAGGCAATTATTATTAGAAACCAGGATCATCCATAAAATATGGAAAAAGTACACAGGGGTACTCTTGCTGAACTATACCTTTTTCAAACCTAGATGCATCAAATAAATGAGAAATCTGGATAAAGGATGCCTTTGGAGGAGGAATAATCATTCGAATTTCCAGTCCCTTGGAGAGATCCTGGCACAAGCAACCAGCTGTTGAAAAAGGTTATTTTGTAACACTTTGTCTAACTTTTTATTTTACTTTTGAGCCTCAAATGGCAGACTATTACTTTTATGTGCCATTTTGTTCCTGTTATTCAAATTTCTTGTAATTTAGTGGAGTGAACGACTACAGATTTCATTATTGGCTTGGATAATTGAGGTAAACTTCATTTTTGTTCATATAGCGCTGACTTGTTTGCAAATAAAACTGGTAACTAACTCGCTGCCTCATGTTTAATATTAAAGAAATGTGCAGCTATAATATGCCTAGTAGCTTAATGCTGTCTAGATATTCAGATTTTGCCTTTGTTCTCGAGTTCAGAAATTTTAAATTCCAATGCATTTGTAAATGCTATAGTTGAAATATTCATCTTCAAGTCAAACTTTACAGCTGACAATTATTTTGAAAGATTTGCTTTTATCAGACAAAATTCTAATCTCTTCTCTTATGTATTTTTGTGCACTAGGCGCAGTTGTGTAGCAGTTGAGTAATGCTGGTTAGCTGTTAAGGTGGCGTGTTGCAGTGCAGAGTGCTTGGCTGTTTCCTGTTTTCTCCTGATTGCTCCTGTAACGATGCCTTGTCGTGCAGAAACAAATGGCTGTCCAGTTAATTATAATTGCCTGACAACTGCACTTCCAGTCACCCGGCCTTGCATAAAAATAATGGAGCATACAGTGAGCACATCTAGCTGGTGATATACACACCTTATTTTTTTTTTCAAAATGGTAAATTAGACCATCTACATATGTGAACTTGCATATAAAAATGTAATGTTAAAGCATTTCATTCCTCTAAGTATCAATTTGGAGTAACTTTTAAACCATTCTGTACTATAACCACTGTGACTGTAGTTTAATAAAAACACTTTCTTGGTGTTCAGTTTTTGAATTTGTACATCCTGTGTCTGGTCTGTGTAAATATTGGGGTAAGTACTGCTTTTATCTTGGGTGGATGTTCATATCTACTATGTGAATTTTTGGAAGAGAAAGTATAGTGATATTCCATTCCTGTGAAATTTATTTCTGTTCCTCAGGTACTTAGTTAATTAGTTAATTTCATTGAGGCCTCCATAGGTGGTAAATATGTTATGGGCTTGGACAGTTCTTTGTTTTTAATGTTTAGACATGTTCCATGAGCAAAGTAATGAAACAGCAAGAAGAGGGATGCTTGGTAACTTTTTCTTGTATGCCCACCATACATCTTTAATGTGCTGGGGCGGGGCTTGGGACGCCTTCCAAAACAGGTTTGGAGTTGGAGAGTTATAGCAGATTGTTCACTGCTGCCGAATGTCTGGTGTGGTTATTTACTCTATACGAAGATTATTCCATCTGGGGTAGAAGACTAGGAAGCCTTGAGAACATCATAAAATGCCAGAAGAGAGTTGCTAACCTTACAGTGCCAGATGGCTATCTCTTGAAATCATTGGCTGTAAGCAATTTGCAACGGATACTGTTATGACATAACCACTTACAAAAACTTTAGTGGTAGACAGTTTAGGTGTCAAAATATTTATTTTTGCAAAAATATAAATGGGAAGTTATTTCTCAAAACAGCTAAGTCTCTAATTGAACTGCTTTCTTTGTAGCAATCACCATCATTTCAATCGTGTGTCTCCCTGGAAGAGAAGAGCCAGCCAGTTGTTCCTTGTTTGCTTCAAATGATTGCAAGGGCACACAGAAGCTGTCCATTTCCCACTTGTAGAGTAGTCCTTCAATAGACCAGTCCGCACTGAAAAATAGTTATTTAATACTTCGTTAATTTATACTACATGGTATAGCCTTTTGGCTGTCTTTTGTCTTTTAAGTAGTTTCTCAATAACACTTTCATGCCGATAACTTCCATACCTGCTTTATATACATGACATATACATAGTAGCATTTTGGAAGTGATATTTAAAATGTACGTCATAATGAGAAATACTTGCAGAGCCATACCTTCTGACTTGATAAGTAGTCCACAATTGTGCATGTGGATTTTTTCTCATTAAGTAGTACACTGTACTTAAAATATCTTCAAAATCTGTAAAGTAATGCAAACAGTCCTGAAGTTTGTTCACCACATGCTGCCAGCAACTTTATGCAGTGTTTATGTACAAGTGTTAAACTTTCACTTGTGAGTGTTGGGCTAATCTTACCATAATCGACACTTAATAAACCGATACTCATTTTGGTTTACCTTATTTTGCTGTGCTTCAGCATAAATGTATTTCAATATTGGAGTTCTTGTGCTTCCACCCAAGGAATTTCTTATGTTTTGTACCTTTTTATTTAGCACGGGAGACTTTTTTCAGGTGGAGAAAAGTACATGTGGTACTCTGCATAGCGACGATAATCCGTTTCAGAAAATTTGTCGCTATGCGGGACAAAGAAGCCCATAGGAATGCATTACAACACGTTTAATGCATTCCTCTGGGCAAAAAACTCACCGTTCTATGAAAATCCTCCATGCGGCGGCCATTTTTGCTGCCCAGTAAGCGAGGAAAGCGCGAAAACACTGCGGGTGGCCATTTTATTTACCCGACGGCCATTCTGGAACCTCTGATCAGCTGTTCTTAAAACATCGCTATGCGAAAATCGGTAAGCTAAACGCTTACCGATCATCGCAAAGCGATGTTTTACCATCTAAAACATCGCAATGCGATTGAAAAAAACATTGCTATGCAGATTCGTAGTTAAACGAAGCGCTCGTTATGCGGGGCACCACTACTTCCTTGCAGACATAGGAATTAAATAGCTGTGGTAAGAGTCCTGTATCAATACAGCCGTGCCCCGCTTAACGATTACCCCGCATTACGACTAATCTGCATGACGATTTTGCAATTGAAAACGATGTTTTAAATGGGGTTTTTTTTTTGCTTTGCGAAGATTTGCTCCCTGCTTTGGGAACCGATTCTTCTGATTACAACGATCGAAACAGCTGATTGTCGGGTTTTCAAAATGGCCACTGGATGTTCAAAATGGCTCCCCACTGTGCTTAGGAACGGATTCCTTGCTATACAGGCACCGAAAATGGCCGCCATCTGGAGGATCTTTGCTGGACGGAGAGTTTTTAGCCCATTGGAACGCATTAACCGGGTTTTAATGCGTTTCAATGGGATTTTTATTTTCACTTTACGTTTTCGCTCTACAGCGATTTCACTGGAACGAATTAACGTCGTCAAGTGAGGGACCACTGTATATCGCACTCCCACTTTTCATGTGAATGCAGGGGAAAGGGCATTATGCTATTCTCACCAATCTCCACCACTTCCTCTAAAACACTGGTTCAGACTTGGGGGTCACCACAGATATTTTTAGTTGCAACAATTTTTATATTAAATATGGTATACAAAATGCTGTTTAATTTTCTTGGCCCACAGATAGATACATTTAATTTGACCCAGAAGGCAATGTAGAGTTCTTAGTGTATATCTGTAACCCTTTGGGTGGATTTTCCTTTTATGCATGTGAATCACTCCTAGCTCCTCTGAAAGAGCTCTTGCTCATTTCTGTTCATCTGCATCCATCTTTGGAAGACCATGTCAGCCCTTTGAACCAAAGTGCTAGCCTAGCCCAAAGAGAGCCTGACTGAGGTGAGAGTGCAGTACATGCCAGTAACACCGACACCCAAGATGGCAACAGGATTGGAATGTTGTCATGGCACTCTTCTGGGGTCAGTAATGGTGGAACAGTGAAGGAGTTGGGTAAGGATATCCCTATGGGCTCCACCCTGAGTCATAGATGAAGGTAAGAGGGGCAAAAAAAAAAAGGGAGAATCGCAGACGGGGGAGGGGGCATGAGTAGCTCTGTGGGAGGTGTTTATTTAAGCTTGAGAGAGTCTCTTCAAAGGGGGCTTTTTTGGGGAGGAGAAAACATGAGTCATTTTTATACCTAAAAAATAAACTCAACAGTACTGACATTTTGGTGTTGCAACAAAGGGTTTTACCTTACAGAGAATGAGAAATCAGTGATGTTTAAGATGGATTCTGAAAAGGAAGAGGCATTCAAGCATGTACTGCTGGCTACTGGCGCACACCAAAGAATCAGAAGATCAGTTTGCTTTATAGATAAAAGCAAAGCTTTTGACTATCATAAGAAGCCAGGTTGTCCTGATAGAAATGGGTGTGACTCAGCACTTAACTGACTTGATGTATAACTTGTATTGCTGACAAGAAAATACCATTAGGACAGAATAAAGAAAAAAATTGTTATAGGCAAAGGGTTCAGACAAGGGTGCATTTTATCCCCTTATCTGTTCAATCTGTACATAGAACATGTACAGAAAGCCAGACGATATTCAGATGGATTGAAAATTGATGGAAGAAAGCCATAATTTAAGAGATCCATATCTGGCAAAAACTGGCACCAAAGATTAACTGCTATATTTTAATGAGCTTTCGTGGACAAATCCACTTCCTCAGACACAAGTGTGAGACTACATTGCTTCATGAGGTTGATGGATCACCACTCATTCAGCTACATCCAGTGCATTCCATAGCAGTAGTTTTAGAAGAGGTAATTGTGTTAGACATGTTTCATCAAAAATGATGAAACAAGGTGTCTTTACTTTGGGCACATCATGAGAAGGCAGAATTATCTGGAAAAGACAATAATCCTGGGAAAGGTTGAAGGCAGCAGGAAAAGAGGACGAACAAATACAAGATGGATTGACTTCCTTAAAGGAATCATATGCTTGAGTTTGCAAAAGCTGAGCAGGGATGTTTTGGAAATATTTCATTCATGGGCTTGCCATAGGTTTAGGCGACTTAATGACAAGTAACAATAACAACTTTAGGTAATAAATTTTGAGGCACTTAACACTGTCCTGTACATGTAGGTACCCAGAATATAAATAGCAGTAGAAGCTGAATTTCAGTGGTCTATGTACCTTCTGGTTCAAAAAACACATCAGATGCCAAAATTATGTCCACTGGAGGTAAGGCCAGTAAACACGGTGATACACGTCCCCAGGTGACTCCTATGATGTGCACACCGGAGAGGTTATTCATCTGGCAGCTTCTTCGACAGTTGTCCAGACACTGAGGAAACTCTGCATTATCCGATAATATCACTTCTGCATCACACTTTGCTGCCACTATCCCAGGAAGACTCACACCTGCCCCAAGCTAAAGAGTAAAAATAGTTTTAAGGTACACCATTGAAACGACAAAGCATGCAGAACTAAATTCAGGATGGTGCTCAAGTTTAAGCTTTGCCACTTAAAATGATTTGCCCAGTGTCCCAAATGACAACCACAACTACAGTGGTGCCCTGCATAGCGACAATAATCCATTCTAAAAAAAATCATCGCGATACGGATTCGTCGCTATGCGGGGCAAAAAGTTTTAAGGTACACCATTGAAACGACAAAGCATGCAGAACTAAATTCAGGATGGTGCTCAAGTTTAAGCTTTGCCACTTAAAATGATTTGCCCAGTGTCCCAAATGACAACCACAACTACAGTGGTGCCCTGCATAGCGACAATAATCCATTCTAAAAAAAATCATCGCGATACGGATTCGTCGCTATGCGGGGCAAAAAAGCCCATAGAAAAAAAATCATCGCGATATGGATTCATCGCTATGCGGGGCAAAAAAGCCCATAGGAACGCATTAAAACACATTTAATGCGCTCCTATGGGCAAAAAACTTACCTTTAAGCGAAAATCCTCCATGCAGCCGCCATTTTCGCTGCCCAGTGAGGAAAGGGCACGAAAACACCATTGTCTTCACCCGGTGGCCATTTTGGAACCACCGATCAGCTGTTTAAAAAACATTGTTATGCGATAATCGTTAAGCGAAATGCTCGTTATGCGGGGCACCACATAGTGATTGAGTTTTTAAATGGGAAAACATCGCTTTGCGATGATCGGTAAGCGGTTTGCTTACCGATTATCGCATAACGATGTTTTAAAAACAGCTGATCGGCAGTTCCAAAATGGCAGCTGGGTAAAGAAAATGGCTGCCCGCTGTGTTTTTGCGCCCTTTCCTCGCTTACCGGACAGCGAAAATGGTGGCCACATGGAGGATTTCCTCATAACGGTGAGTTTTTTGCCCATAGGAACACATTAAACGTGCTTTAATGCATTCCTGTGGGCTTTTTTGCCCCGCTTAACGACAAATCCGTATAGCGACTATTTTTTTGGAATTGATTATTGTCGCTACGTGGGGCACGACTGTATTTGTTCCTGACTTCAAATTGGAAGCCACTCTTGTACTGCATGTTCCAGTCCTTATATCTTTTACTTGTCAGTTCACCTAGGCTATGGTGTGTTTCATCGAAAAACCGTGGTTATTGCAAGTCACAAACTACAGGGTTCTGTTGTTCAGCAGGCAAACATATACAGCTGCAAGCCCATACTTGATACCTGCCTAATTCATGCATAATTTAGCTCAGTGGTGGGTACCAGTGACTTCTGGCTACTTTGGGATTCTCATTTGAGCATAATTGTCTCCTAAATGTTAATAATGCAAAGACAAGAAGCCTTGATTCCACTGCATTAAATGGTTTGTGTAAAATATTGTTCCTTTTTTAAGATAGCATGAAACAGCAAGGCAAACATTTTACATAAATTAGTTTTTATAATCTTGCTAAGCTTTATCCACAGCAAATACTGATTTAAAGAGTAGCCAGTTCTAAAGTAAATACGGTACACACCCCCATATTGTCAATGAGGTTCTTTTAAAAAAAACATACTAACCCTCTGCTAAAATTGAAGTAAAGCATATTAAAGCAGTATGTTGACAAGGGTCTAACTTTATAAAGTATGAATGAAATCATAGAGTAGTCCCATTTACCTCCAAAATCCTTTTGCTGGAAACTAGCCTTCTATGGAACCAGACATACTGGGCCAAGACCACTGCACAGGGCCAAACATACATGCCATACTGGGGATCAAGGACCTGGAAAAAAGTAACTGCTATACAACAGAATAGTATCTGAGGCATTTTAAAAATAAATCTAAACACTCTTTTGGATTACTCCCCCCTTTTTTTGTATCATTATTTTGCTGGAAACAGAAGATAAAGTTCTCTGCCCAAAAAGAGATCCAGAAGAAGCCTTTCCTGCTTGCAGGCCATGAACTTTTACTATCAAAAAATACACTCATGGTATAAAGATACTAATATGATCATAAAATACAATTGATTACATAACGTTCCTGAAAAATTCAAACGCATTTAAACCGCAAATACAAATTCAATTGATGCAAACCAGAAGAACTGTGGCGTGAAATCCAACATACTATAAGGGAAGAATACAAACCAACAGCTTCTGTAGCCAAAATAAAAGCCTCCGGTGACAGATAAAAACTCACATTATTATTAATGACAGACTAGAAGCAAGAATAAAAGGTGACGGAAACGGATTTGAAACGCAACCGAGCGGCATATGGTGGCCAGATGAAAAAGGGCACAAGCCTTCTATACTTTATCAAAAATATACGCCAGATTTCAGAAAAACGTTCATAACCCGGCGTCACCTGTGATACAAAACGACAAATCCTGCCCTGTATTTCTTTCGTGTCGGGACAACTGCCTTCTTAATTCAGCTCCCTTCAAATTCGTTCCTACGCATTTGTACGGAGCAGAATAGTAGTATCTTTAAAACAAAACCATCGATCAGAACCTCGGGAATAAACACCACCAGTTCTGGGTTCAGGTGCTCCGGCTCGTCCTCATCGGGCTGTCCTCCAAACCTGTACTCTTTCACGCGGGACGCCGCCGCCACCCGCTCGCCCATCGGGACTCCCGCCCCTCCTCCCGCCACAGCCAGGCGGGCACTTCCGAAGACTTCCGAACTTCGAAAGAGCTTCGAGTGACGTCTCAGTGGACCACTCACAGGCGAAAACCGCTGAAGAACGCAGCCAATCACAGCAAAGCATGAAGAGCGTGGCACTCTGGAAAGGCCACGTACAAATGCGACGCCTTGAGTGAGGCGAGATAGCGCTTCTTAGCAGTTCTTGTTGGTGTGTAATCGCTAGTACGTAGTATTATATTATGCCCAAGTAATATTTATGCACGCACGGCGCTCCCCGATGCATAGAAACAGACTTGTACGACTTCGCAGATATATTGCCCAATGTTGACCCAAGGAAGACGAATGGGCTTGTTGAGGGTGACTCACGTTCCCTCGCTCCCCGCTAAGCACACAGGGTGGGAAACACCTTGCTCTGCAGATTTTTTTCAAGGGTACATCTCCCATAAATCTCGCATGGAAACCAGCGAAAGGGAAGTACTGTACAATGACCGCCATCCATGTTCGATCCTCGTCCTTGCCCCGGCATGAGCCGTCATGGATCAAAGTCGTTTTAGTGCGTACAAGTTTCTATTAATACAGTATATATAAACTTCTGGAATAGCTTTAATAGGAACGCAGCTGCTGAGGTGCCTACCTCAAATGAGATTGAAGCAGATGACTGTAACTCTACAGTTTTATTACTCCCCTCTTATGTATTACTGTAAATTTATACAGGTATTTGACTTTTCCTCTAGGAACCTTGAGGGCGCGGCATACTTGGGTGCCCTACTCACGAGGGAGGCGATTAAGACGGAAAAGAGTGACTGGTCACCGAATAAGCATCATGGATATGAACTATGCGGCTGTTTGAACCAGCCAGCTTTATTAACACTGTCTAGTGAATCTCGTGATTCCCACCTTTCCTTCTTTCCAGCTTATCTGATCTTACAAAGTACGTAACTTAATACCGCCTCTGGCCATGTGCTCTCTGACCCATCCCGGTTGCGCTTTATGCCTCAATACCATCACTCCCGAAAGCGGCAGAATAGCTCCTCAAATCGCTTTCGAGCCTGCCTCCGCTTCTCACACTGCCCGGCCAAATTACGTAGCTAGCTCGAGGCCGGCTTCTTAAGATGGCGGCAACCCTGAAGTCGCTTCCTCCTCCTCCGCCAATTGTTTCCTCCCCGCCTCGCTTTCCGCTCCCGCCCTGACCAATCAGCGTTCTCCCCTGCGTGGGAAGGTGGAAAGCATAGGCCAATGGAAAAGGAGGAGAGTTGAAGCGAGGTGGGCTGAGTCGGGGCCGCGGCCGCGGTGGGTGAGGCGGCGCAGAGGTGAACTTTCTGGAAGCGGCGGGGCGCTGTTTCTTCGGGGCGCGCGTTGTCCTCGGGGGAGCCGTCGCCTGAGGAAGCCGGGCGGAGGAGGAGGAGGAGGAAAGGGGGCAACGGGACGATGAACCACAAGAGCAAGAAGCGCATCCGCGAAGCCAAGCGGAGTGCTCGCCCCGAGCTCAAGGACTCCCTGGACTGGACCCGCCATAACTACTGCGAGAGCTTCCCGTTGAACCCGGCGCTCTGCAAGGTGAGGGAGCGGGAAAGCGGCTGCCGGGGAATGGGCTTAGAAGCCCAGGAAAATGGCGGGGGAGGAAGACGCGTTGGGGGGGGGGGAGGCCCACCTGGGCTGCGGAGGGACGAGTCAAAAAAGCAGCCTGCATGGACAGGATCCTGTGATAGAGGGATAGAGAGTGTGTGGGGTGAGGGAGGTTAACCCCGCTGATTCTCGCTTCTTGCGATTCTTATTCACAAACCCTCTTCCCCCCCCATGTGTTTTGGGTCTCCTTGTGATTCTTCTGTATGATTTGTGTTTGCATTTTAGGGAGGGCAACGGTTTTTCTGGCGGGTAGGGGAACAGCCTCTTAATGCCTGGAGATGGATTGTGGACATGCCCATGTGGCAGAAACCTTGTACATGATTTCCGTGGAAGGAGTTGAACGCAACAGGGTTAACCTCTTGAGTTCAAATGCATAGGGTTTCCTTGTTCCTGAGCTACCATCTTTGGCAGAGAAATTTTGCTGGTGTATTTTTAGCTTCTTGGTGCATTTAATTTGCAGTGCAAGCCTACTATCGCTAACCACTGAGAAATAATTCACATTGATATTGTTATATGTTGTGAAACCAGAAACAATTTGTAGTGGCTCTGATGGGACTTTCAAGGTAAATGAGATACTTAAGGAGTGTTTTTCCCAGTTCCATCTCCCCCAGTGAGTTTCCATGGCTGAGCAGGGATTCAGCCCAGGTCTCCAAAGTCCTAGTCTGTCACTCTATCCACTACATCACACTGGGTATCTAATGGGACTTACTCCCAAATTAATGAGTTTAGGATTGGGTTTTACACCACTGGAATGTTTTGTTTGTTTTGGCTTAGGACTTTCTCTCAAAGTAGGTGGCCTGCTAATAAAAGCCTGAATAGACTCTATTCCAAAGAATGTGCTAGATCTCATCTTACTGTGCAGGCTGGCTTGAGAGTAAGTATCATTGAATCTGGTGGGAGTTGATACTGAGGAGACATACAGGTAGAATTATCAGGAAAACCCACAGGCTTCATGTGGCGCAGATCACACTTGGATGTTAAAGTTTCACTTGGAAATCTGTTGGAAATTTACAAGATGTAAGTTGTGGTGTCAACATGAAAAAAACACCTGTTGAGCTAAGCTGAGAGACACCTGGTGATACCTTTATGTTGGGTCATACACTCTCACACTTCAATGGAATTTTCCATTTAAGCCCTCTAGCCGTTGTTGAAGATTAGATGCAGCAAGTGTCTTGATGCTTTCAGATTAGGAAGCAAATATTCTGTGTACTTTTTCTGCATTCATCTATATCAGAATGGTGATATAATGATAATTGTGCACCTAAGTGGATTCCAATTTAATGAATCTACTTAGGGTTTTCTAAGTATTAAACAGCGTGCTTCCTTCCCCCATTGCATAACTCTTAGTGTTTCTTTTTATGATGAATAAGATTAGAATCATACTTTGTTAACATATGAATAATCTTTACAGATACTTGAGACTATGTTTCCAGTTTAAAGCACAAATATGTGCCCCTTCACGTTTTTATTTGTAATGGGGAAAGAGCTTAGTTGTTACAATTTTAGAACTCTTTTTATAGTAAAGACAGTAGTTGTGTAATTTACATGACACTATGTCACACTGAATTCAGTAAGGTTTATTTCTGTATGAAATTGTACAGATGTGGTACCTTAAAAGTTACAGGAAATATGGAAATTATGTAAGAGTTTTCTGTGGTGGTGCCAGCTAATACAGGCACTAGACATCACTGAAATATGAATGCTGTGATTAAAATCTTGTTTATTATACTAAGCACATGTAACCATGTGGTCTTTAAAAGAATAGATGTTATAATGATAGATTTTGAGGGGAAAGGAGGAAAGAGCAAATGACAAAATGTTGTCATGATTGTTCTTGCACCTTTTTATAAACATGGTGCTATTCCTAACTTATGCTGGAACCAACAGTTCGATAATACCCAGAGAGTCACTCTCTCCTCACTTTAGAGCTAAGGAAGATGGGGATTGAAGTTTTTTAATGGCTTGTTCCGTAAAAGCCATGTGGGGTTAATGTAGTTATTAAACTACTTCTGTATAAAACTGTATACAGTATTATCTTGTATTTTAAAAAGTATTTTTCCAACCCTCAGGATAATGTGGAAAGAGCAGATGCACTCCATTTGTCAGTGGAAGAATTCATTGAACGTTATGAGAAGCCTTACAAACCTGTTGTCCTGCTAAATGCTCAGATGGGATGGCCAGCCCACGAGAAATGGACTTTAGAACGTCTGAAGCGGAAGTACAGGAACCAGAAATTCAAGTGTGGGGAGGACAATGATGGTTATTCTGTGAAGATGAAGATGAAGTATTATATTGAGTATATGGAGACCACACATGATGACAGCCCACTCTATATATTTGACAGCAGCTATGGAGAACATCCTAAACGCAGGAAACTTCTGGAAGATTACAGGGTGCCCAAATTTTTTACAGATGACCTGTTCAAATATGCAGGAGAGAAGAGAAGGCCACCCTACAGGTATGAATAGAATGCTTTTTTGTTTGAGGATAGGAAGAACAAAATACAACTATTTCAAACTGGCAGGCAGACCACCACAGGGCCATTAATTTCTCTTTGCCCTTATATCTATTTATGTACACCATAGTTTTATTTGAATCCAGAATTTTCAAGAAAATATTCCAAATGGCAGGCACTGTGCAAAAAGCAACCCAGAGTAACAGTGTAGAATTCATGGAGGCCACTAGTATTTCAGTTTCCTAGGGGTGGATCAACTTCAGACTTGCAGGATCAGTTTTATTTTTTGTTGAAACCACAAGATCCACCAATCAGATTCACATGCAAAAGAATTACTAAGAAAGGTAGATATAGAATTGCAGAACAGAATGAGCTTGAATATGTGTGTAACCCCAGAATTTGTTTTTAGTATTAGAACTGAATCCTGCATGCACAGTCTATTGACACATAACCCTACAGCTTCCTTGAGTTCATCAGCATAATTTAGGAATGATGGGAAAGACTTGTTGTTGGGAGTTTTAAACCTTTAATTATGTGCCAAAGATTGCCTAGATATCTACCAATAGATTCCATTTTCTCTTCTGCTCGTCCCTGGACCAGATGGTTCCACTACTCTGAAATTGTACAGCATATACAGGAGCATCTTTAGTTAATACCTAGAAAGCAGTTATTGATGGCAAATACATGCTGCATGAATGAGCCTTGTTATCTCTGAATTCTGTTCCCCTGTTGGCTAATGTTATTAGATTAAAAAGTATTGTCAGCATTTTAGTAATATGCTGTGGAGAACCTAACACCTAGCTAAATGAAGTGTTGCAATAGACAAGCTAATATGAAATAAGCTTTTAAAAAGGCCTACCACTCACATTTATGTTCATCTGGTCATGGTAAAGGGAAAATATGCTTCTGTTGATCCATGCCAGTGCTTGCTCACACTACAGATGATATTTCATAGAATCGTCATAGGGTTGGGAGGGACCTTGGAGGTATTCTAGTCCAATCCCCTGCCCAAGGCAGGAGACATCAAACCATCCGGGACAGATGGCTGTCCAATCTTTTCTTGAAAACTGTCAGAAATAAGGCACCCAAAACATCGGGAGGTAAGTTGTTCCACTACTTAATCGTTCTCACCATCAGGAAATTCCTCTTTATTTCCAGGTTGGATCTCCCTCTGAAGAACCACCCATTGGTTCTTGTTCTACTCTCAGGCACAATGGAGAATAAATTGATGCCCTCTTCCCTGTGGCAACCCTTCAGATGCTAGAAGACTGCTATCATGTCTCCCCTCAGTCTCCTCATCGTTAAGCTAAACATACCTAGTTCTTATAGTCATTCTTCATAGGATTTAGCCTCCAGTCCCTTTATCATCTTTGTTGCTTTTCTCTGCACCCCTTCCAACACCTCAGTGTCTTTTTTGTATCATGGTGACCAGAACTGGACACAGCACTCCAAGTGTGGCCTCAACAGCACGGTATAGAGTGGTACTATCGCTTCCCATGATCCTCTGCTATCCCCCTCTTGATGCAGTCTAGGACTGTGTTGGCTTTCTTGGCAGCTACAGCACACTGCTGACTCATCCTTAGGCAGTGGTCCACCAGGACACCTAAACCCCTCTCGCACATACCACTGTCGAGCCAGGTACCACCTATCCTATACATCTGGTTTCTCCTGCCTAGGTGCAGGACCTTACTTTTCCCACCACTGAACTGCATCGTATTGCATAGGGCCCAATGTTAAAGTCTGTCTAGAGATCCTTCTGAATGTTGAGTCTATCTTCCAAAGTATTAGCAATTCCCCCCAGGTTTGTGTCATCAGCAAATTAGATGAGTGCTCCTTCGATCCACACATCCAGGTCATTTATGAAGATGTTGAAGAGCACTGGGCCCAAGACAGAACCTTGAGGGACCCCACTGCACACTTCCTGCCATGTAGATGTGGTTCCATTGAGGACCAAATGTTGAATGTGGGTTAGTCAGCCAGCTGCAAATCCATCTGATAGTTGCGCTGTCTATCCCACTTTGTTCCATCTTATGCAGAAGTAGGTTGTGTTTCCTTGGTCCACTAATTTAGTCACTTTATCAAAGAAGGCAAAAAGATTTGTTTGGCATGACCTGTTCTTATAAAAAAACCCATGCTGCCTTCTAGCAATCACCTTGTTATTTTCTAGGTGCTCACAAATCTATTTTCCCAGGTATTGATGTCAAGCTGATTGGTCTGTAGTTTCCTGAAGACTGGAACTGCATCAGCTCTTTTCCAGTACTCTGGCAGATTGCCCGTGCTCCAGGTCCTCTCAGTGGTTCTGAGATTACATCTGCCAGTTCTTTTAGCACCCTGGGATGTAAGCCATCCAGTCCAGGAGACGAACTCATTCAAAGCAGCTACGTGTTCTTTTATCACTTCCTTACCTATTTTGACCTGCTTCCCTCTCCTGTCTCCCACAGTGCTGCTTTTGACAGGGTGGACTAATTTTTCCTTTTGTGTAAATACAGATGTAAAAAAAGACTTAAGCAGTTCCACTTTCTCCCTGTTTTCTGTCACCTTTTTGTCATATTCTCCCACGAGTGGACCAACCATTTCCTTGACTTTCCTCTTGCTCCATACATCTTGAAAAAAAACTTTTTTTGGGTTATTTTTGGCATTTTTTGAAAGTCTTAGCTCATTCTGCACCTTAGCCTTTCTGACTCCATCATTGCAGATTGGAGCTATTTCCTGGTATTCTGTTCTAGTTCTGAGCCCCTTTTTCAGTTTTTTATACTTATCCTTTTTGACCCTTAGCTTGTTAGAGAGCTCTGTGTGCATCCACACCAGATATCTCTTGTTTTTCTTTCTCTGTGGTAATGTTTGGTTTGGACCTTTATAATCTCGCCTTTCAGGGTTTCCCAAGCACCCTGGACTGTTTTTCCCTTTAGGATTTCCATCCATGGAATCCTTCCTATTACATCTCTTAGTTTGTTAAACTCAGTTGTCTTAAAATCTAGAACATTAGTCTGACTTGGTACAGTTACCCTTGATACACCATTTGTATAGCCCTGTCTTGCATTGCAATATGTTTGCTTATGTTTGTCCATACTTCCAATAATTCTACTTGGAATAATTTCTCCACTTCTTCAACATTGCTGGAAATGTACAGTGGCACAAATTTTGTCAATGACAAAATTGATATAGATTTTTGTTTTGTTTTTTCCCCAAACTGGTATAATTTGAATTCTAAGGTAATCTAAGGTGTTTGGACTATTTTTCTTGGTCTAATCGGAACTCTTTTCTTTTAGCTGGTTTCATTTTCAACAGTTTCTAGGATCAGAGGACAGTAAACACATTTTGAGACATAAACTGATGTTAGGAGGGATTTATGAAATTGTATGTCCAGTCTCTTGGGACATTCTTTCTAGGAAAGTACTTTAACCCGTTTATTTCATTTAGGAAGGATTTGAATTTTGGAAAGGAAGCTACTTGATTCTATTTAATCATTCTGACATTTGTTTGGTTGGCTTCACTCCATTTTTGGAAAGGGATCATAGTTCAATGGAAGAGGTAGACTTCAGAGTTTGGGATAACATTGCCAAATGGCACATGGGTTCTTATAATTTTAAGGCCAAGGGTGTGATACCACTGTTAGACCACTAATAATTCACAGAAAAATGCTAGCATCCAGCCCGTGCAGGCTTTTATCAGACTAGGCACCACTTATATGTGGTTGGTGCAATGAAATTCAAGAATCCCAAAAAATAGGGCTAGATATTTATGTCAGTTTTAAAATGATGGGTGAAAAGTCAAGACAGGAGGGTTTGTTTTAAATTCCACCTTTAGCAAAATTGATTGAATTGTTCCAAACTCACCAGATAAAAGGCTGTCTTATAATTTCCTTATAATTTTAGCAAGGGTGCCCTGCAGAATGATAGGTAATTTGACAGGAGAACTGGAAAAGCTTTCCCAAGGGTTCAGGAATGGATCAGGAGCAAGAGTGGAGACAGCAGCCAGTTAAACAAACCAGCTGTCTGACATTTATAGAGCAGCTCCTTACACTTTTGTTGTTTCTTGTGCTGTTACTACATTTTTGTGTGTAGAAACAGAATGAAAATAATGCAGTAGTTCACTCTGCTTTAGAAATGAAGAGGCTTGGTTTGGGCAATAGCAGGAAAACAAGTTTTGTACCGCTGTCTGATTTTTTTCCTTTATGCAGGTGGTTTGTGATGGGCCCACCTCGATCAGGAACAGGCATTCACATTGACCCACTAGGTACCAGTGCCTGGAATGCCTTAGTCCAGGGACACAAGCGCTGGTGCCTTTTCCCTACCAGCACTCCTAGAGAGCTGATCAAAGTGACTCGTGAAGAAGGAGGGAACCAGCAAGATGAAGCCATCACTTGGTTCAGAATAATATATCCTCGAACTCAGCTTCCCACTTGGCCTTCTGAGTTTAAACCGTTGGAAGTTGTGCAAAAGCCAGGAGAAACTGTTTTTGTACCAGGTATGTGCACTTAACCTTATTAAATTCTGTGCTAAACTACGATTTGATGTTGTAGAAAAATATATTTTTGATATATCAAGGTTGCATGTAAACATGGTTGCCCCTTTTCAGAGCCCTGAGGTGTCCTAAGAGTACTGCATGATAGTTTCATATTTTGAACAAGTTGCATGATATATGCATAACGGAGTAATCCTGAAGTTCACTGTACATTTAGGAAGGAATGGAGATAACATGGAATGACTATAAAGCCTTTGAAATTTGGCATGGGAGAAGCTGTGAATGTTTTTTCAGCAGTGGCAACTTAACTGGCACAATATGGGAGAGGATTGGACAGCTTTTAAGATTTTCACCAAAATGGAAACGGAAAATAAAAGTGGACAACCTGTTTAATCCTGCTTCTCAGAGTTGTCATGTGTGCATCTGATAAAAGGCGCAATACCTCTTGTGGTATCTGGAGCCTTGAATCACTGGGAAAAGCAGTGAACTTTTTGGCATGTGGCAAGGTGGGAGAATTGGGGAAAATTAATAGTAATTGTGTGCTATCAAGTCAATTCTGAATTACGGTGACCCTTTCTGGGTTTTCTAGGTAAAGAGTACTCAGAAGTGGTTTGCTCTTCCCTTCTTCTCGGGGCACCCTGGGACTGTGCAGCTTGCCCAAGGCTACACAGGCAGACTCTTATCGCAGAAGGCACCGCGGGGAATTGAACTCCCTGCCTCTGACTCCAGATACTTAACTCACTGAGCTATCCAGCCAGTCTGGGAAAAAGTTACTTTTTAGAACGAAACCCTTAGTCATTGTGGGTATTCTTTGTGCTGGCTGGGGAATTCTGGAACTTACAGTCCCAGGAAGTAAATTTAATAAGGTCTGGGGAAAGGAACATGTAGCAGTTGCAGTGGAGTAGCAATCCTCTGGGTGCTCATTTTTGTTTGCTCCTGAGTTTTAGGGAATGAGTTGTTTCTGTATTGTTCTGTGTGATGGAAATAATTCTTCCAACACTCAAAACTTCCATTTTCAAGAAGACAAGTATATGAGTAAGGCCCAATGGATTTTCATAGGTCAGATAATAAAATAACAAAAGTTGTTGTGCTTCGATTGTAGTGTTGGATAGAGGAAGTATACAGAGAGTTGGACAAGAATCATTGCCATAGTTGTCACTGCCACACCACCCTGTTGCTTTGCTGCTACCTTTTCCTTCTGTCTTTTGATTAACCTCAGTTCAAAAAGGCACAGTGGTGGCTGTTACAGAAGAGCCATAGTTACTATGTGGTCAAATGTAATTATTTGAGAGCTTAATGTACATATTTCAGCTACGTAATTCAAGCACTAAATGAAAATCCTTATGCCTTACCAGATTAAGGTTTTTGGCTTTCTGACATAGAATTCTGAGTAGCAGACTGCAGATTAAAGAAACCAAGCCTGTCTTTTGTGGTTCTGAAATCATTTTGAGCCCTTGGGAGTTCTGTCTGCAGAGAGCTTCTGTTTACCTGGAGTATATTCATTAGTTACCAATTTCCCCTGTAAATTGTCACAACGCAGGAATATTTTTAGTGACACAAAGCAAATTCTAGTGTACGTAGCAAGTGCACTTAATATCACACTAATGTAATACCTTTATTAAGCCAACTAGAAAGGCACAAAAATGCCCAGAAGCACAAACTACTGTGCAGGCTTTCAAACGAATGCCTTCTTCATCAGCAGAAGTAAAAAATAAGCAGGATAGGAAAAAGGGGTGGGGAGTACTGGATTTTATATTTTTCATTATGGCCAGTCTGTTGTGTTAATTACCCCCATGCCAGTCTGCATGTTTTGGACTAATAAAGGGATCACCTTAGTAGGTATTTCAGCATTTGTTTTGTGTCAAGACAGTTATCCCTGCTTTTTGTTTGTGACCTTGTAGCTATTTTATTTAGCTTTCTAGCGATGAGACCAACATGACTCCACACTCCCAGAGATTGCATGCTCTTAAACATAATAAAGGTAAACCATTTGTCCATATCGACTTACCTAATTTCTTTTTTAAAACTAACTTCTGCCTTGTGATGCTGTGTTTTCCACTGGACCAAAGAGCCTGTTTGTCCTAATGAGATGGATGAAATCTTGCATTCACAGGGGGTGGGGGTGGGTTAACATTCTCTAAGATGAAGGACAAAACTGTTTAAACTTGGCAGCTCTGAGTGATTCCAAGGGTTGTGCCAAGTTATATCCAACTCCATTATCACATAATAAGGCCAAGATCTCTGCCTGCAACAATTCTCCTGAATTACTTCCTATAAAAATGTGGGGACAAAAATACCTTAAGATTCAGCATCCCCCCCCCTCTTTTCCTTTTGCTGCTTCATTCTGCTAACTTTTTACACCCACCCCACACAGAGTGTTTTCTCAAAAGACCAAAATTAATGTTTGGCACACTTTTGTTCCTTTTTGGTTCACTTAATAAATCTGTCACACTTTTATTTTGTGACTTATAAATTAACTTTGTCTTAGCTGCTTATGAGTTGAGCATGATAAACTTATGTACTTAGTATTGACATTATATGAGAGGAAAATTAATTGTCTGGCTATAAAAATCTCAGCTGAGAAATCTTTATTGTATGTCATTAGGAGCTTGTACAGCTTATATTAAATATGCTGCTAACAAGAGGAGGAGCAGGAATGACATTTAATGTAGATCCTTTGTTCTTATTAAATGAAAGCTTAGGTTTTACAGGGTTGAAGCAGCAAGAACTGAAATAACTAAGCTATTGTGCTTTCATTTCTTGTATACCATTTTAAAGGTTATTGTCTCTTCCCAGCTGCTTAATATTGATAAGCTTCTAAAGAAGTCCAGTTATAAAGCAGAGATGCTTCTTTTACTGAGCTTTGATAGTATTGCTAATAAAGAGAATTATTCTTGTTATACATCTAATTCTTAGGTGACTGACAATTTATTGTTAAGCAGCCTTACTTGTAAATAAGCCCCACCACTCTGTTCAAAGGGCATGTTCTCTACAGTAACAATTGTGAATGAATTCTCCACTGGATTACTTTGCAACACTTAAGTGAGATCGATTTGTGTGATGTATATGTCTGAGGTGGCATCCTCTTGCCCGGGAAAGATAAATGGTTTGTTTATTGTTTGGTTTTAGTTCTACTGCAAAAAAGAAAAAAGAAAAAAATACACCACCCAAGAACGTATATTGCTATTTTTAAACATTCTTTTCTTTTTGCATTCCCTATATATCCCATTGTATTCCCTCTCCAGGTTGGCTACCATGTACAACTAACTTCAGGATATTCTGCCTGATTATTGTTTTTCACGAAGACTTTCATGGCCGGGATCTAATGGTTGTTGTGGGTTTTTCGGGCTCTTTGGCCGTGTTCAGAATATGGCCAAAGAGCCCGAAAAACCCACAACAACCATTATTGTTTTTCAGTTCTTCCCCTTGTGTATATTGTGAGGGATAGAATAAATAATTTCCCATCCAATTCTCTTCAGATCACTGTGTAAGTCGCAGTCAGCATAGTCTCCTCCCTTGGGTAATCCAAATACAGTGGTGCCTCGCACAACGATGTTAATTGGTTCCAAAAAAAAAAAGTTCTGTGAAAACATCGTTCTGTGAAGCACCATTTCCCATAGAGATGCATTGAAAACC